ATACAAGGTGAGATGAAAAAACTGCAACCAACTTCAGACTGCTGTCATTTCTAAACCGCTCGTCCCACAGCTGTCAGATTTATTCTAGTGACAGCTCATTATATTGTTTACAAGCGCACAAAAGCATTTTGGTGGGAATTTTTCAAAAAAAAAGTTATTTGTGATGGAATTCAAGCGTGATAGTGTGATTGCTTTGCATTTGGCTGGAAAACCACAAGTGGCTATCGTTAGAGCCCTCCAGCATTTAGAAGTGAATAAATGTTTTGTGTCTCGTACCATCGCTCGTTACCATGATACTGGTAGCGTAGCCCGACGTCAAGGAAGTGGACGAAAAAAAACAGCAACATCGGCAGAAATGGTTCGAAAAGTGAAAAAGCGAATTGAACGAAATCCGCGTCGCAGTGGACGAAAAATGGCTCGTGAGCTGAACATATCGCAATATGCCATTCGGCAAATATTGAAAAATGAGCTTGGACTAAAGCCATTCAAGTTCCAAAAAGTGCAAGATCTTACTGATGCGCAAAAAAAAGTTAGACTCGAAAAAGCTAAAGAGTTGTTTCGCTTGGCCGAAAGTGGTGAACTGCCGAATTTGGTTTTCTCCGATGAGAAACCATTCGTTATCCAGCAGTTTGTAAACAAACAAAATGATCGTGTTTACTTGCCAGAGAGGTCAGCTGAAAATTTGCAACTTCGGTTGGCCATCACAACTCAAAAGCCGGCCATGGTGATGGTGTGGGCCGCCATAACAGCCGATGGTCGCTCGCCGCTCGTATTCATCGACCGTGGTGTCAAATTAAATGCGCAAATCTATCGCGAAAATATTTTGGAGGGAGTTCTGAAGCCCTGGGCACGCAAACATTTCGGCCGCAGACCTTGGACATTCCAACAGGACTCAGCACCATCGCACTCAGCACGCGCCATCCAAGAATGGTTAAGAAATGAGGTTCCTCGCTTCATTTCCACCGCACAATGGCCACCAAAATCTCCGGATGCCAATCCGTTGGACTATTGTGCCTGGGGTATTTTTTGGAAAGCAAGGTTGGCACTAAAAAATACCAAAGTGTCGATCATCTCAAGCAAGCGCTTCGCCGAGAATGGGACACAATACCGCAGAGCCACTTTCGGGCAGCGTGTGATGGTTTCATTGGCCGTTTGAAGGCCATAGTTCGTGCCAAAGGTGGCCAATTCGAACAAATCTAAACCGATTCTCAAATTAGATGTTATTTCCGACATTTTTTGCTTTCATTCAATAAAATTTAAAAAAAATGAAAAAATTATGGCGTTTTACTTTGTTGCAGTTTTTTCATCTCACCTTGTATTTTGGAGGACTTGATAAATCGTGTTATTTAAAAGGTATACATATAAAATAAATTATAAGCAAATTTGACACTTATATTCCAATCACAAAAAATTTAACATATAAACTTAAATAAATAAATAAAAAGTCACATACAAGTAATGTGATAAAAAAAAAAGAAAAATATCTATTATATTTTCAAATTTTCTAGGTGGGACAGAAATTATTATGCGTAGCAAGCTTGAGCAACAAAGCTTAATTGAACACAAACAATAGAATATCGTGTTACCACGGTTGAAACACTGTCCATACGGACAGGACTGAAAGATCATATTAAAAGTAAAAGTTCGAAGCATTTGCACAACTCTCCCCATTCAAGTAGAAAGTAACCAACTTGAGACGTTTATTTATTTAGCGTCCTGACTTAAAAGAATAAACGTTCTGTCAGAATATTTAAAACATTAGCCCTAGAGCTTTTAAATATTCTTTTAGTCATTGACTATGACTATGGACACATGAGGTAGAGTACAGTTTCCTGCACATGATTAGAGTTCGCAGTGACACACCAATACCATAGCACTAAATTAATTTTCCTTAAATTGCAAAATTGATCCCAAAAAAATTAATTACTGTCAATATTTCATATGTCCATATTATATAGAAATATTCTGGTATAAGTATCATGCAGTTCGATTTAGCAATGTTCGAGAAAATTTAATTTAAACACTCTTTTTTACTATTACACCATTCTTAGTATTGACCCCAATTAAAATGTAATAGTTCATATTCGGCACCTTTATAAAAAAAGTATACAGGTACTATCAACAGCAAGCAGATCAATGCAACGGCTTAAGCTAGCTGGTACGAATTTTGTCTAATTTAGAAGCGGTGAGCTTCAGCAAACATCTTCAATTACCAGGCTTCCATTACCAACACGAAATATTTACGGTTAATTGCTAATTTAACTAATACGTCTGCTGAGATTTCTCACCGCCCTAGACAGAAATTATTAACACAGTAAAAAAAATTTTGGAATTGCTCTATTAGGATAGACCAGTATTTGTAGGCTTTCCTCCAAATGTAGAATCTCTGATACTAAAAACTAACACATTGTAAGTAATAACATAAACGTTCTCTTCAAAAAATATTTAGTAAATATCACTGCTTTCGCTCTTTTGGTGGTATTACACAGCACTTTTAGAATATTAAAATTTGTGTCATGTACATAAATTTATAATTCTCATTAACTTTTATTTCATATTTTTTTTATAATTGAACACTTTGCTTTGTGGGTATTAATATTTTAATAATTATATATTTTGTTCCATTAAGAAATAAATCCCAAAATGATATGAATTCTGTTAATTTAGCTTTTATTACTATTATGCAAAAAAAAAAAAAAGAATATCTGATACTTAAAACTTAAACATTATACATAATAACTTGGACGTTCTCTTCAGAAAATGCCGATATTGATGGTGTAACATACCATTTTTAGAGTTCTAGTAATATTTGTGTTATGTAGATAAATTTATAAATTCCATTGACTATAATTTCACATTAATATGTAAGAACATAAGAAAATAATTTATTTATAATATAAATAATTAAGAATTCGCATCCCTTTGGATTTTTCAAAATAAAAGGAAGTATGTTCTGCTTCATTATAAATTAAGAAGTCAAGAATCTTTGACGCAAAGAGTTTTTGCATTAGAAGACATAGTGCTTTGGTGCTGTTAACTGTACAATTGTATACGTTAGTAGCTTAGGAAACATTTTAAGTAAATTCATATAAGCAAAGAAAAACACTAAAATGCTATCTCATATTTTTTATTTAGATTAAGATGAACTTATCGATGTTTTGTAGGAAAATTTTAATAAAAGAACAATTAGTCTTTACTTATAATTTTGACAATAGTTTTTTTTTATTTAATTAATTTTTTATATGATATAA